ACGTATTCCGCACCGCTGCAAATGTGTTGGAAAGATTAATGTACTTGTGTGTGAACAGCTCTCCAGGTGTGGACAACAGCAGACCAAACGCATTAGGAACAATCGTCACCAAGCTTGCCGAAGCATCGGCTCGTTCTTTTTTTATCGAAACCTTAAGGAAATGCAGGTTCCGACCATGTAGTAACAGGGAATAGTCATTGCCATTATCACGAGTTGGAACCGTGCAACAACAAGAAATAAGCAATCAACCAACGCTGTAAATCATCCATTTGAACGGATGCTTCGTTATCATACAACCATGAGGACCTATGAAATAAAGAATAATAAGGGGGAGAGTATGGGGACTTGCCGCAAAACCTTAATGCCATAAGCATACACTCACGGTCAAAGCGCCTACATCTTGTATAGACAACATATCGTCACAAACAGCTGGCTATCGTGGAAAGATAAGACGGCATCTCCAAGACAGGTTCCTTGCGGTTTTCACGGCTCCGCGTCATAATCAGCCATTACCCCGCAGATAAGTCCGTACCAAACACACTTTAAACAAGCAATCCGATTAGGAGACGCGCCACTGGTGTCGGTTGCGAGCCGTGTCCTGTAAAGTCTCGAGCCAAGCACAATGCGGGTCAGGGAGACTCCAGCCCGGAAGACGAGACGGACCAAAGGCACACAGTTTGGTCGTCTGTAACTTCATTTCCCTCTGCCATGTCAACTTCTGTCCACCGTGAGACTTGCGCCACCATACACCTGGCAGACTAAACAAGGCCCTCTTAAGTAAGCGGTGAACAGGCATATGTAGCACGTAGATAGCGAAAGTTCGGTACACATAGCATCTTGATAGGCTTGCCTGACCGAGGGCTGAGACAATTTCTCAGTTGCTAATTGTAGGGGACGCTTGGTGCGCCTTCCGGTCAAGTGCATGGAGAAACGACAGTGTACCAAGGCATGATCAGAGTCGACGCAGGTATTCCAGTACAAACGGCAATCCATGATGGAATCACGCCACCTGCAACTTATGACAATGTGGTCAATTTGGGTACATCGCTGATCAGCTACAGGAGGACACCAAGTCGCACTTCGGCGCCCACTGGGTTTAAAAGCAGTGCTAGTAAGAAACAACTGGTGCTCCGCACACAGTTGCAGCAGACGCTCACCGTTGTCAGCCCGTTCGGAGTTAAGCCCATAATTACCACCCAGATGACCTTCTGAAGAGCTCAGACGCCGTACTTGTGCGTTCATATCCCCTGAAGTACTAGAACATCCGAACTAGTAGCCTGCGTAGTAGCGCGTTCAGTTCGTGATAGAATGTGCCCTTGACAGCATTTGGACTGCAGTCGGTGGGGGCATAAGCGGAAATCACAAACCAACAGCGTTTTGTACTACTTCGGGAATCAACCTTAGCTGATGTCCTCAAATGGGCTGCACGAAAACGGCTGTTCACCGGAATCCGATCAACCAACGATGGCTCAGCCTTGGAGCTTAGAATGATACCTACACCAGCTTGACCCGTGAGTGCTGCGTCGGCGGATGCATGCAACCAATAACTAGAGGATAAGCCGGTGCAGTTAATTCAACAACCTCATTAGGGTCATTGATCCTAGTTTCGGACACAGAACAATCATCAATACCCAGTGTGTCCAAGGTGCGTGCAAGTGCAGCCTGTGACCTATTAGTCTTAGACTGCGAACGCTGCACGCTACGATGGAAACGAGACAGCGTGGTCTTATAATGGACTTTTCCCAATAGGCGTCAGATGGGTGTTGTGAGGTGGCTGCAGGTGGTTCTACTTCAGTGGCAATTAGGTTGCTGTCAATGAATCTGGGATTTAAAGGAGGTTAGTAATATGAGTCAGGATGGAAGTAAGAGAAACAGGTGGAAAAGAAAGAAGGCGCCAGCAGTAGCATGTTTTCGCTTATCCGCCCTGCTGTATGCAGCAGATAAGGCGACCCTTGATAATCTGCTCGACGGCCGATGCAGGATGAAGTTTAGGTTAGAAGAAAATCATGGTTGTATGTGGGCTGAGATACTGCCAGGGCGTCCATACGTAGACAAAAGGAGGATTGGGGTGCTTAACCACAGCCTTTGGCTCAAAAAACCTGCGGGTAGGTGGCGGTGATTTAGTTTTACAGAAATGGACGCCACCCCATTTCAAACCCTTAACCTGAAGGACCAGGAGACTGGGTTCGTCTGACCTGTCACAAATGACCAACCTGGTAGGAGTAGCTCTCAAGGGGCTCGGAGGCATCACCCAGTATAGCTCAATGGGTCAAGGAGGTACGCGAATCGCTGCATACGTTAAGGTCCAATCTTTGAGAGACTCGTCATGTTGGTCTCTGTTGATTTAAAAGTCGCCTTTGATTACTTCCGTTGACAACTATCTTTGATGAACGTAACAGAGAAATTTCTCCCTATTTTAAAATCTTACCAGGACTCCCGTGGTTGTCTACGGGAACCTCTCTCCTGAGCACAACACAGGTGGAGTGCATTAGGTTTGCAGAATTGTCCAAGTCCCTCTCCCCTTTGTGATCTAAATAACTATGAATGACCTACGGCTGTATCCTTCTATTTCACCTGGAGTTGATCTGCAGTCAGACCGCCGAATGTCTAGTCTAGGGTATGAGGATGACATAGCTCTCTCTCTGGGCCGGAGCTATTACGAAAACGTGACTAAATAGGCTGATGCGCAGCGCTGCACAAAGTGGCATGTGCTTTTCACCTTCAAGATGCAAAGTACTGCTACAGCATCTAAGCGATTGCCTACCGGTTTTCTTTGCTACTAAACGACTGTTGATGTTGCCGATTACTTAGCTGAATAGCTGCCGGTCGCCGAGAAGATTACTCAACACGCATTGCTAGGGTTTGTGCAGGTTTTCCATAGCGTTGGTCGCTAGTGTCGACGGAGGGAGGTACGTGTGTTGATTAAGATAGGGTGCACAATACCTCGGTGTGGTCAGTGCTATTGTATGGATCAGCGGCTAAGTAACTACGTCCAGAATATGTTAGAAAACGGCATGTATTCCACCACTGATATATGCGATTGACTATCACTGGGGATAGGATCGAATGCGTAATATGGAAATTCACTAAGGCTCACCCATATTGGTACGCCCGACCGCAAGTGAAGAGTGCCATCAGGATGTGCCCGGTGCGCCCCCTCACATATCCATCTGTCCCATGTTTTATCATTCGGTGCATTTGACGATCCAAAAAGGACGATTGCTTCTTGATCTATCACTGAACGTATCTTTTTTTGGACCACTTGTGTGTTCACTGTCAGTGGTGGATATTTAAAAAGCACCTTGCTGTACGTTAAATATCGTGCTCTGTGCCACACCCCAACAAATCCGACGGGAACACCACCAAGGTCTAATCTGCATTTGGGTGTAGGCGACCAGTGAAAAGTACTCTCTGGGCGTCCAATGTGGTTACCCGCCTATCCATTCGTCTTCTTGTTCGATGCATGTACCTACAAATCTGTTGGCTGAAAGTGTACATTTATATGGAATTTGGCGACAGACCCATCAGCGCCTGCTGAAATGGAATCATCTCCGGTGGCTTGATCGTGTGCTCTGAATATATGCATTGTTGATCAGTACTGCGCCTAGTTGGGGAGGGGCCCCGAGGTTACCACCAATCAATGACATGGCATAAGAAAACCAGACGGAAGGCTGAACCGGGTTGGTGCATCCTGATTGGTTGGATGAAAGGTCAATGGGAATGAGAGAATCTCACCATGCTTGAAAATTTTTCTGAGGCCATTAGAAATCAAGTTAACCATATTTAGCACACTGATGAACAGACACTAAGGATGAAGCACACTTAATATCGCTGATACTCTGTATAAGGATTAGCACAGTGACTGGTGACACCCATTCCTGGATTTTCCTGATAAGAATTTTCGCGACCAAGTTACCAGCGATACTGAAATGATCACGTCATCTCCACTGTAGCACAAGCATTTCCACGCGGCTCCAGCTAGGGAAAATGTGGATTACACCGAGAGACGGAGAAAGAACAGCGAGTACAAGCCAAGGAGCTCAAGCGGACGGCATAGGATGGATATCAAGAATGATTCGAATGCCTCGTTTGTTTGCGAATAAGACTTCAGGTCGTAGCTAAAAACCCGTTACCTTTCGAGGAGCTACACAATGTTCAGCGACGGCATAAGCGTAGTCCGTCAGCGCAGCTGTTTCAGAGTACAAAATTTGAATGCCGCAAAGGAAACCAGTGTGGCTCAATAAAGGAGTGCTAATGGCTGGACTCCTTAGACCGTGCAAATATCATCCCCGTCAACAGTGACTAAAATGGGGCTAGTAACGACGGTAGGGAAAGGTAGAAAAGGAGACTTGTCAGTAGCAAGATGAGAATGAACTCTGTGGGGCCAAGCATGTGGGGTACGACACTGCTAGGATATGCAGACCTAGGCAATTGAATGATTAGTACACAGTTGAAATCGTCGGAGAAAAAACCTGATAACAAGGTAGTAAGAAAATGATGGTGGTCTGGTTTTACGGAAATGAGTGTAACCCCGATCTCAACCCACCTATGGGTGTCCAACAAATCCAGTTTATCGAGTATCTAAACACTGACAAATCTGGTTGAGGAACAGTCCTTAAGACGCCTAGAGTATCATCAAGTGCAGTTCACCCAACTGGACAGGTGCATAAGCCCCTTAGGTCCTCATATCGTTGAGACGGTAGACGTTATTTAAATAATATTTCAATTTCGTCCGGTCGTCAGAACTCGCTCAGCGTAAGTCAAGCTCACCGATAGCGACAAACTACTGGAATTGACGACAGGATTCTTAATTTGCGTGGAACGCGTACGATTAACCTAATGGCACCTATGGGCTGGACATCGGTGCAATAGTCGTACGTTATTTTTCGACAGTTCTGACGGCCGTTAAAACCAGCAGTGCTTTATGAATACCTCGAGTGGCAGCGCTTGTACGATCGACCTTACCGCTGCCGTAAATAGAATGAAAAGCAAAACCAATGTATCAGAGCAAAATGTATTAAAATGATGAGCTGTTTAGGCATTACAACCGGTCTGGGAGAATGATAGAGGTGGGAAAGCAAGGCGACGACAATTTATGAAAGTGGATTGTGAAGAGAATTAACAAGCCGTTGTAATTAAGAATTCTTCAGCGAAATGGGCATTGAGATGGTTTTGACTTGAAGATAGGCATAGAGTCCATACTCCCCACTGAAAAAAGAAATATCAGTCTGATCACTTTCGGCTCCGAGCTGGATACATCGAAAATTCAAAGCAGAACAGAATATATATATATATATATATATATATATATATATATATATATATATATATATATATGGGGGTTTAATTTAGAGCCTCTGGCTAAATAACCCACCCATAAGGTAGCGTGACGAATTCAGGGAATCGCGCACATTGGGAGCCAGTGACTGAATGCTCACTTCATACACCATTTGTTTGGTCGATGGACAAATGGGGCTTAATGCTCTCCACAATGTCAGCATCACGATGCTGAAATACTATGCTCTACCGGAGTGAAGCAAAGGGCGGTGACTTTATTTAGTGACGAGTCACATCTGCCACATCACAGTGTTGTTAAAAGGGGTTATATTGATTTCTATAGAGAAAAGGACGTAGACTAACTGACGGGATGAATAGAATGTCGCACTGATACAAGAACTAAGAGCAGTAGTGTCTTATTACTCTGAGAAATCACATAACTAACTGGTATAAGCACACTGATTTAATGCGCAAACGAGTGTGCACAATAACAGTTGGCTTTCTGCGTTCATTGGAAGCATTTCGTGGAAATTGAGATACAAGTCCGTTTCATTTCTGATTCTGAAATTTCCGACCAGCAATACTTGTGTTTTCATCGCTTGATTTCGGCGGTCTTGTCATCGCCATTTTCTCCGTCAACTGGCCGCCATGTTGTTTCCGGATTATTCACAATGCCGAAGCAGTCATCCTGTGGTACTTGCACCAAACTAGTCGGATTCCGTGCAAATGCCCTCACGTGTGTTTTGTGCCAAGTTAAATACCACATTTCATGTGTTGGATTATCAGTTGAGCATTTTCATCGTCTTCGCGAGATACAACACGATTTCGTCCAAACTATATGTGAAAATTGCCGAAATAAGATACAGCCAGGAAGAGTAAAGCCGACATGTAGGCCTCAGCGTTTCGTTGCGAACAGCTCCGTGTGTTTGGCCCAACAACCTAGCCTGAAAAGCCTTCAGGTTTCAGGTCAGTCATCCTCTACCCGTGCAAACTCAGCGATACGAAGTCCAACCGTTGTGAGAAGCTCAGTTGCACCTGACCTAAATTGTTTACCTTTGTTGTGTCCAGCGGACGCTGATGTCCCAGCAAGTGAAAGTCTGAGTGCTGGAGACCAGTGAAAAGAACAAAGAACGAAATTACGAAGGGACGTTGGACGTTTAAGTTCTGTAGTTCAACAGTTAGCCAAACCACGTGAGGCTGGTAGTATACTTCGCCCTGCAAGGTCAGTCTCGTCCGACCAGAGGCGTTATAATCTCGTGATCTTTCACGCATCGGAGTCCAGTGATCCATCACCCCAAGTGCGCTACGATCACGATGTCGAGTTTTTACAGAGTCTAATTGACAGACTCCTCGACGCTGGTGAGGACTCGGTAATAGTGAGGCAAATAACTTGTCTTGGAAAGCCAGGCGATCAACAAAATCGGCCTATGAGAATCACTTTTGTGGACGAAGCCAGTCCAAGACTGATCATGTCCCGCCTATGTAGGCTGAAAGGTTTGAAGATCCATGTTCGTCCAGACCTGGACCCAGTAGACAGGGAGCGGCTCAAGTCTGCCATCATTGAGCTGAAAAGACGCACTGGTGAGAGGGAAACAAATCTTCGTACCCTAAATTTTCGGGTGGTTTCCAACAATCTGCGAATCAGGATAGACAAGCTGCTCACACTTCAATCACACCCGGCGGCTCCTGCTGCGGCCTGCGAGTAGCCTTCACAAACGGTTGCAGTGTTATGAATCAGCGCGATGAGCTTTGATGTTTCGTTGCGTCTGAGCGGCCAGACGTAGTGGGACTCGCAGAGACATGGTTGCATGCAGAGTTATACACCCAAGAACTAGAACTCAACGGTTACTCGTGCTTCCGAGGCGATAGACTAAAGAATGCCCACGGTGGTCTTACTTTACATCCGGTTTTGCCTGTGTGGGAAACTTGTGAGCACCTACCAAAGTGACGATGGTTTGTGTGAGCTACTGTGGTGCTCCATCCTCCTCAGCCGCGGAGAACTGCTTGTGGGCGCAGTTCATCGCAGCCCCCTAAGTCGATGTTTGGATGACTGCCCATTCTTCGAACCCACATGAGTCGTCCACATTTTCTACCTATGGGAGATTTTAACTGTCCTCGAATACGATGGCTTGATGTGCATTTGATGCCTGGACATAGTGAGGTTGAAGCAAAGTTCGTGGATTTGGTACTTGAAACTGGTGCATCGCAACACATATGCCAGCCAACACGCATAACAACACGTTGATATGGAATTATCTTTGTCGTATTCACGTCCGCTAGAACCAGCTCCCAACTACTGGAAAACAGATTTCGTTGGTCTAGCTCGAGCCGCGAGCCAACTGGATTGGTCTCTGTCACAAGCTGCATCTGTGGAAAATTGTTGGATATTTATAAAAGAGAGATTGACATCATTGTGTTCCCAATTTGTGCCATTGAAATGTCGGAATGTTGGACCGATTAAGCCTCATTGGTTTGACAAGGAGTATTGAAACCTGGCTCGGAGGCGGCGCAGACTGTGGGACAAATTCCTCCTCTATGGCTCTGTCAATGAATACGAAGGGTATAAATGTCAGCGGAATCTCTGCAAGAGTGCAAAAAAGAATAAACGCCGACACTTTGAAGAGCAATTCGCAGTAGCAGCGAAGACCACCCAAAGAGAATCTTTGCATACATGAAGCAACGCATGAAGCCGGCAGGTGATGTGCCAGTGCTGCATGGCCCGGATGGACAGCCCCTAACCTCCAGCACTGAGGGTGCGTCCGCGTTGGCGGCGCACTTCGCTCATGTATTTGCAAATAACCAGGTGTCTGTTCCGAGTTCGACGTGTACCGCTGTTACCGAACTCGATAGTCTGCATTGCGGCATTGAAGAGGTAGGTCAGCTACTCGCCAACATTGACGGCACCAAACCTGCTGGACCTGATGAGCTTCACCCACTGGTTCTTAAGTCACTTTGAACCATCCTCTCTCTTGTCGTGACTGACCTTTTCAACAGGCCGCTGTCCGAAGGTTTGTTGCCAGTTGACTGGAAATTTTCAGTGGTGAAGCCTATTCCGAAAGGCGGCGACCCTAGCAAAGTAGATAACTACAGGCCAATTTGTCTGACACCTATTTTGGCAAAGGTTGCTGAGAAAATCGTGAAGAAGGGATTGCTGCAGTTGCTACAGTCAAACGAGGTCCTGACGCCCACACAGCACGGTTTTATGCACGGTCGCTCATGCATTACGAACCTGCTTGTGACGAGGCATGAGTGGTTGAAGGAAATAAACAAGGGGAAGTCCGTCGAGGTGATATTCATCGATTTCAGTAAAGTGTTCGACAAGGTCAGCCATGAGGTTCTCCTTCATAAACTCAGAATGTGTGGTGTCCGTAAATCACTGCACCGGTGGATCCGCGACTTCCTTGTTGGACGAAAGTGGAGAGTACAGGTCGACGACCATCTAACTGACTAGTATCCCTCTACAAGTGGCGTGCCTCAAGTCACTGTGCTGGGGCCCACTCTGTTCCTGATCCACATCAATGATCTACCTCAGCTTCTCCGGTCGCCATGTGCCTTGTTTGCGGACGACATGAAGATTTGGAGAGAAATCGACACTCACGATGACTGTGGCCTACCTCAGCAAGACCTCAACCGCCTATCCACATGGTCTGCAGGAGTTCTTCTCCCGGTCAACCCAGCCAAGTCTGTATTTATGAGTTTGGGGAAGGGTGCTGACGGCCGAACGCTATATCCCACACCCTCCGCGAAGGACCTAGGTGTACTCTCACGCTACGATTTGAAGTCCGTGGACAACACGAACAGGCTATTTCGTAACGGACCGCGCATGCACTGGGCGCTCAAACATAGCTTCGGCACATGGTCTGAAGAGGTTGCCACTCGCCTCTTCTCTTCCATCATTAAACCAATGCTAGAGTACGGTTCGCCCGCCTACTTTCCGATTACCCGAGGCGAAGCACAAAAGATCAAACGAGTCCAGCACGATGCTACCAGGCTCATCCTGAGTTTATGTGGCTTGGGGTATGAAGACAGGTGCGAGAAACTAGGACTCTATACCTTGTCCTACCGTCGGGTGCGAGTCGACCTTCTCATGACCTACCGTATTCTACATCTTGGTGACTTCCAATGATGCCAATGATGCACTTACGAGGGCAAAGCAGCACACGCGGACACAGATAAAACCTGTCGTGCCGGATGTGAAATGTGTTCCTCACCCATTGTGCATCGAACGGAGAGTGGAAAAAATTTGGAACAGTTTATCTGAACAGGTGATTGAGACAATATCTGTGCAGCAGTTCAAAATGTTGTTAGATTCATATTTTGGGACTATTCGATTCAGCAAACGATTGCACACTTACGATGATATATCACATATGTGAATCCTGAAATATCGTAAGTCAGATATTTTAAATATAACATGAGAACGACAACGATATTCATGGCTGACAACTTTCATAACCTTTTTCATCATATTTCGAAAGAGTTATACAGAATTCATTTCCACTTGCTCTATAACACAGTATATATATATATATATATATATATATATATATATATATATATGTATGTATATATATCTTCACCCACTGCCTTGTGGGTCAGGCTATTGAGCCAAAGGCTCCGAGTGCAGTCCCTCAAGCAAACCTCCGAAGCACAACGGCCATCTCGCATGCGATTGTCCATCAATGCAACTGTATGCCTGCGCGCCGAGCACTCAGCATCGGGTGATGGAACGTGCCCACACTACTGGACCGGAACTCCAGTGAGCGCCCGGAGCGACGCACTGTACAGGTCGCGATGGAACGGGCGCGCTACAACATCGATATTGTGGCGCTCAGTGAAACCCGGCTCGCTGAGCAAGGTAAGTTACATGAAGCAGGTGCTGGCTACACATTCTACTGGGTGGGCAACGCCGCCTCAGCACCACGTGATCA